TACAATCAATCAATCAATCAATATATAGAGAGTATAAGCCCAGAGTAGCTTGTTCTGATATCCACAATTAACTCTCAATGCTGTCGCCCACATGTTGCAGTGGTATGAGCCTATGCTCTAGAGTTGCCGTGTTAGGAGTTGATCCTTATGTCACATGTTTGAATCCCACTGTGGGACGTGGAGACGGGTCCTTCGTACAAACCAAGGTCCAGTGTCACAGTAGATACTGGCATGAAAAAGATCCTTCACTGCTCATTGGCCCTGTGTGCCGAGCATAGGTCATTTGCAGCTCTCCACCGGCAAGTGATGGCGTCTCCATATGAGTGAAAAATTCTCGAGAGGGACGTTAAACAACAAACTAACTCTCAATGTCCAATACAGTTTAACCTGAAAGTGAATGCAGACATAGACATGCAGACATAGATTAGACTTATTCTTTAGACCAAGTATAGTATACTCCATATTGTTTTGTTGAGGACACAAAGTTCACAGTGGAAATCAAGTAGTTTTTCCTGCTATTTATACCCAGCTTCTTTTAAACCATATAGTCATTGAGTGCATTCACTTTCTAACTAATTGATGAAGTTCTGAATCATACCTATATTTGTTTAAATTCTTTGTGATTTAAGAATACATTTGACCAGTTGAAACCAAGAGTACATGTACTACATAAAATTTCAATGTTGTGATTAAGATCCAGTAAAGCAATATGTAGATGCCATGTTCAATATACATATTTGCTATCATTAAACTTGCAGAGACCATGAATCAAAATAATTCAAATGCTTCAAAATCATTTTATTTTTACTGCTAGTCAAAATACAGTCACTCAAGCATATCCTTTGTTAATTTGAAAAAAAAATGATAGTTTAACATTTATTATTAATACCATACCAAAGCACAAGATAGTGCACTTCTTACATAATCCAATGATTCATGCTGTGATTTGACATATTTAGATGTTTCTCATTTACAGTTCAATATACATGATATACAAGTACAGTGTGACACTAACCTAGTATCAGTTGAATGGATCATTACTATTCTGTTTTTAAGAAGTTTGCAGGGTAAAAAGTATAATAAAATAAAAATGTTGATACATTTATTGATTGCATATGCTAAAAACTTTGATAAAATATCAAACTATGTATCATAACAGCTTTTACAAATTAATTCAATACATTCAAAGGTACAAAAATCAAATTATTTTCATCCACAGTTTTATCATATTCAGTTGAACAACAGCTACATCTATTATATAAAATGTATGGTAGTTGGCACTGATGGTATAATCAAAGAATACAAAGCTCACTTCTATAAATGTTATCCACTAGTAAGGCAAAGTCTCACTCAACAAACACTCTGGTAATGTATATCACCTGAATCCAAAATCTATGCAAGTTGTTCTGGGTTAGATTTAACTGCTCAATAACCCTGAAAATGTATGTTACATCCAGCATCAGAAGCAGGATGCATCATCTATGTTTACTGATCACCAAAGAGTATATTGTTACTTTGAATGAACCTTCTCTAAAAAAACTGGTCATTAATCCAGAAAATCTAAGTCAAATCAAGGATTGGTACCCTGAAACATTAACATACATCATCTTTGCAGGTTTGTTCAACATACAGTTTATAATTACATGAGAATAGGACTGCTCAAAACACTTACTCTTGTGGAGTCCCCCATGTGGCGCAAAGGCTAGAGTGTGTAATCTAGAGTCGCAAGTAAGGATTTAATCCTTAAGTCTCAGGTTCAGATCCACTGGGGATGTGGGGACCAGTCCTTCAGATTCGACCGTATAAACCGAGGTCCCACCTCGCAGTTGATGTGGGCACAAAAAAGATCCCTTATTGCTCAATGACCCTGAGTTCTAAGTATAGGTCAAATTTTGCAGCTCTCCACCAGTAAGTAGTGGCATCTCCATATGGATGAAAAATTCTTGAGAGGGATGTTAAACAACAAACAAACAAAAACAAAAAACACATGAAGAAAATGTTGATCAGGTCAAGCATCTGAAGTAAATCTGTTAATGTGCTTTAATCCATGCAAGTTTGTCCAGTTAGAGCTTAGGAATAAACCTTGCTCCTTAAATTTTAACTGGGATGACAATGCTAGGTATATAGCAAGAACTCATCTAGACTGTCCAGAAAAGCTTAAGAATATTTAGCAATATCTTACTTGCATGATTTAAAAAAATCTGCAATCTAACATTATTCTAAAACAATTTCAATAAAGTTTCTAATTTTCAACAAATTCAATGCACTATGAGATGAATTACATTTCTAAACCACATACACTCTACTTAAAGTGCAATATACATGCATTATACTGTATGTTAAATCTTTACAGTTCTCTTCAAGTACTCTAATAGTATATAAAATATGAAGATTACCGAAAGTGATCAAGCTTTAAAGTCCATTGAAACAATACAAAATTGGAGCAGAGCAAACACAGACCTCTAAAAACACCAAGTGCTATGGAGGAGAAAGCATTTTCTGCCATGTGCTCCTTGACATGATTGGGCAAATGGAAAAATCCACAAACAATTCAGTGTAAACAATTTTGATGAAAAACATTAGTCAACATTCAACTTAATGATAGATTAAATTTGCTATAACAATTAATTTACATGTAAGTGTACACACATGTATGCATACCCAATTTTACTAAATGAATTATTTCACAATATCCAAAATTGGACAATAATATATAGTTTCTAATCTAGCCAGACAACAGGAAATTTTCATTATCACTTAAATTACATGAAACTATTGATGTCTGTGAGCTACAAATTATATCTAAAAATTATATACATTTTAACAAGTGTTTACAGTTTAGTGTATTTATTATACACAAATGATGACTTAATTAGTAAGACATACCAGTAAAGTCCACAGATTGACTTCCAGATTTCAGCTCAAAGGCTTGAAGATTTTTAGTGGCTTTTTCTCTCATAATTTTTTTTTCACTGAATATTTTCATTTTTTTTTCAAGACACTGTTTTTGTTGAGGTCTTTTAGCAGTTTGATGCAATCCAAGAACTCCGAGGGCAATTTAAGAACTCCTGAATTTCTTTCTTACCTGGCAAAAATAAAAATTTAAAAGTTTGAAATATATTCAACTTACATGAAGAAAACTAGTAAAACTAGCGATAATGTAATAGACCTTTCAGATGTTCCAAAGCAGCTACATGTACCTTATTAAAAAATATAAAGTTTGAAGTATTTAGAGTCACCTGTATTCTGAACAAGGGATATGTGTATTTGACAGACAGATGAATGAATAGACTGATCACTATAGAGCACCTTAGTCTTTTTTCAATAATCATTATATTAGTGAAAATAAAATAGGAACTAGAGTGCTTCAAGGAATGTATATGTCGCCTGCTAGGTATCTTCATTAAAGAGGTAAATAAATCTAAGAGTGGTCAGCTATTAATTTAATATTAGCATGGAGGTTCAAGCATTTGCCTGCAAGGAAAAAAAAGGATCCAAAAGTAAAAGACTGGGATAGAATCTGGCAATCAAAAAATATAGTTCCCCAGTCCTCAAATGAATAATTAAATTGAAATTATGATGAATAACTATTTATCATTTTATTAATACACATGCAGGTGCTTCCAACAATCCTCGGAGGAAAGAGATTTCAGACTGTCTTTACTTTGTCACTTTGTCAGTCAACACGATTCATTGTAGAATACTGATCCCAATGTATTTTCATAGTATTTAAATAAGTTTGTGGTAACTGAATTTCATACAGTTTCAAAGTATAGTATCATGAGCTCAAAAACATATATAAATGCTAATTATCAAAACCCTGCCTCTAAAAATTTTGGAGATATAAGGTGTGACAGACGGACAGACAGACACCAGGTAAAGTGATCTCTAAGTGTCGTTCTGCTCTGCAGTTGACACAAAAATGAAACTTAGTCAATTTTTGAGCATGCATATCACTTCAGTGATGAAAGGAATGCTGAAGTGGTAAGTCTATCCTAATTATTTGAAAATACGGCAACCCCATTGGTCAGAATATAATACATATGCTGTCCAGCCTTAATTTCATTGGCATAAAGCAGCACAAAACAAGATTTGATTGGATGGTGCAACTTGTTTTTCTAGGGGGCGCTGTTGCAACCCTGGAAAAGAAAATAGGACTGGGGCTTGCCCTTTGGGGGCACTTACTGACCGAAAGTAAACAACAGAAATAGCAAATTACACTAGAAATATGTCCATAGGCCATGAATGCCCCGCCGAGTGTATAGTAATGCAACATGAAATTTTGTGTTAGTATATGAAGTTTGATGAGAATATCTTGAAAAGTTTCTTTAAAATTGAAATAAAAATTTAAAAAAAAATGAATAGATGATAAGTTCTCACCAAATTATGTATAGATGCATAGCCTTAGATAACAATATCTTAAATGGTTTAAAACCATGCAAGATGCAAATTAAAGAAAAGTGAGGTCAAGGTCACAGGAAAGGTCAAAAATTTTTGAAATAGTTGAATAGGTCTTACTAATCTTACAGCATATTAAGTTTGATAAAAAATATCTTGAATGATTTCTTTAAAACTGAGCTAGTCACAAGCGTGGCGCCATGGTTAAAGCGTCTGCTCTAGAGTCACGAAGTAAGGAATTGATCCTTACATCACAGGTTTGAATCCCACTGTGGGATGTGGACACCAGTCCTTCGGATGAGACCTTATAAACTGAGGTCCCATGTCGCAGTAGGTGCTGGCAGGAAAAAGGACCCTCACTGCTCAATGGCTGTGAGTGCAGAATATAGGACAGAATTTGCAGCTTTCCACTGGCAAGTGGTGGCGTCTCCATATGAGTGTAAAATTCCCAATAGGGGCTGCAGATTACCTGTTATGATTGACCAAAATCCCTACTAGGCTTTAAACTCTTCATTCTTGACCTGTATATCGTCAAATGAGATTTGTCCAGTTAATTAAGGTAAAAATTACTAATTGATAAAACTGTAAATGATTTTTTTTTTTCCTGAGTCAGATTTTTACTTTTCTTAAAGGTGTCTGGATTTGACTGTTGGTTCCACCTATCTCAAGGAAATGATCTGTAACAGTAAATGTTAGAAATCATAATCTGTTCTCTATCTCCTATAATCACGAGAAAAGGTGTTAAAAATTAACAGATGGAGATAAAATCAGCAGTCATATTAAAGGCTTTTTTCAATCATCAATTTATTAGTGAAAATCATAAAAGTATTAGGCAAAAATGAAAAATAAATGTTGTCATTAATTAACCTTGCATATCTCTACAATTTTCTGATAAGAAAATTTATATCCGATAGATGCAATATAATCACCCTTTGCCTGCCCCTAAATTAAATTATGAAATTTTTATAGATTTTGATTTAAGCAATTATTTAAAACAAGATTTTTTTAGGGGCACGTACCCCTGCTTTAGATTTATATAAAAAAAAAAACTACAAAAAACGTGAAAACCTATTTCTATCTTACTGGTTTATATTTATTACAAATGTCCTCATAGTCAGCATAGCCCAGAATGGTAGACCGCAGACTCTCACCATGAACATTTTTAGTGTCCTGGTTCGAATCCATTTGTTGGCACATTTTTATTTTTTCAAACTTTTTACCTGTATAAACACTAAAGAACGAGTGCACTTATGGGCCCCGGTAAAATGTGAAATAATGAAGAATCAAATTAAGCTTAATTTTCCATCTCAGATCATTAATTGATATCTAAACCCTAAATTCAACAAATTTTATTGCTGAAATTCATGAATATACAAAGAGCAAAGCCATACAATGTGGTAGGGGTCAGCCAACATTCGTGATTTTCTATAGTAAATTGAGGACAGTCATTCATTTCAAAGCTTTTGTTTATTGTCAGCCTAACGTTGTACAAACTTGTGTGATTGACAAAAAATGCATTATACATTTATAAAACTTGTGTGAAAGTAGGAAATTTGTACAAGATTAGGCTTGTACTTAAAATATTAAAAAAATGTATGAAAAGTTCAATGTTTTTCCTATAGCAAGTAAGAGCTTAGATTTACCTGTATGATCTAGCTATGTTGAACCCACCCATGGAATAAATTATTTAAAATACCGGTAATCACGTGAGTTCTACCCAGGTAAACATTCCTCAAAGATGCTCACTGTAAAGCATAGCCACGTTTTGTATCATTATATCAAAGTCATGCCGCATAGAGAAGTTTGTATGTACATGTATTTGGTTTTAGGAAAACGGGAGGGTTAGGAACACAGAAGGGTTAAGAGAGTTTAGTGTCGTTAAAATGTCATCATAAATAAAAGTGTCAAACATTTTTAACATTCAAGCAAGACAATGGTACCAGTATTGAAAGCCACCCAAATACACCTTTTTTCATTTTAAAATATAAAGGAACTAATGTTAATACTTATTGCATTATTTCAAATGCAAGCATACCAATTTCATAGTTTGATCACTATGGATACAGGCATCTATACAACTTCATTCAATTTTTTTCTCGGGTAAAATAGCGCAAGAAGTATCATTCGGCAAATGTGCCTGTCAATGATCCACCATCAGATTGTTCAAGTGTCTGATTTAAGATTTAAATGCCTCCTCCCCTTGATTTAAATAAACGATTGAAACTCAAAATGGGTTTGATATGACTTTCCGGATCTATAGGCATTTAAAAAACTTCATTTGTTTCAAATCCATGCTGATTGATGTTTTAGCGTGATTTTAATTAGAAATGTCCACTTGTGTTTAACTATTACTAAAAGAGAACAATTTGGTAATATATTCTAAAATAATACAGCACTGAAAAAGGGCCCATTAAGCATTCCTTAAGTGCACTTGTCCTTGCACTTTGATTTTTTTATACAGGCTTTTGCATTTTACTTATATTTTCTTCCTTAAATGCATGTTTGGTGTTGATATAAAAGACATCTACAGAAATGCAGATCATAAATTCTCTTTAACTAAATGCAATCAACCAGAACTATACCTCATTGTAAGCACACTTTGTTCGAGGACACTAATCATTCACTTTGTGTTACTCGATACTGCAGGTGTCAGGAAAAAGAATCTTGCTGAGCAATAACTGCTGTGTTTTCCTTTCAAGAACATAATGACATGTAATAGTACTGTTGTGCCAGTGGGAGAGATACTGTTCTATGCAGAGTAGATGCAGTTCATTCCTTGGGAAAAATGTGTGCATTGGCGATATGTTATGCTAAAAATGCATGAGGGTTTTCAGATTAGAAAAGAATGTGGTAAGGTCAGTTAAGGTTTTATGTCCCATTGCCATTACTCAGTCAGACATCAAGAATGACCCTCATACAAAGGATGTATAATTCTGTAAATACTGAGGTAGGATCATATGAACACACAGTTGACTAGAATGAAATATATCGAGATAACAAACAGTATTCAAGCTCAAAAGCCCATCAAAAAATACAAAATAGGAGCAGAGCAAACACGGACCTCCAAAACATCAGAGGTGGGATCAGGTGCCATGGAGGAGTAAGCATCCCCTGCAGACCGGTCACACACGCCATGTGCTCCTTGTCACAACTGGGAAACAATGGAAAAATCCATCGATAATTCAGTGTGTAAATAATGGCCTAACAATAAGTATGAAAAACGTCACTCAGCATTTGACTTAATGATAAATTGTATTTGCTGACAAAGTCATTGTATCGACCATAGAATTTACAAAATGATAACTTTAAACAAGACTGCTGATATTCTTGTTTCAGCAACTTATTTGTCAATAACTTACCTCGTTTTAAAAAAATTTCAAACATAGAGGATGCTCTTTCGTATCAAATCAACTGAGAGATATAAACCCTGTATGCAGGTGATGAAGGTATATTGCTAAATAAGTAAGGGAAGTTGACAATTGAAAAGTTAAAGCCATCTCATTTGTCATAAAGCTTGGTTGTTAGATTACCATTAACGTAGAACTAAAGCAATACATGAGAAACAAGAAACTACACACATGTGGCCTAAAGTCAGTGATCGGAACATACATCGATAAGCTTTTTCTAAAGACTGAAACCAATATTGGTCCTAAGGTCAACTCAAATTTTTAACTAGAAGTGTTCCTTTGATATACTATATTTTACTTATTTTCTATAGACTTACTATACCCTGAAAAAAAAAATGGAAAACAGGAACTAGCTGTTTAAATTACCTCGACCACCGAGGTTAATCTAAAGTTTGTCCCTGCCTACCTGAAAAACAGACTACCTCGGGCAGTCAGTAATTTCCAACTCTGGTTATGAGATGCTAAATGTTCAATATTTACAATCAAATGCTTATATTTACATTTTTAAATTCAGGATAGATTGAGAAAGTCAATAAAATCACTTCTATATTATGTCTGTATACTTCAACTGAGAAATTAGTTGAAACTGGTTCCAGAAAAGAAGCTGAAAATGTTCAATAGTTTACAGACAACACTTGAAACATGATGACTGAACAAACACAGATAGCAATAAGTAATTTAAATGACTCAGGTGAATTATAACCTGTTCAATCTAATAGATCCATCTTTTTTCTAATACAACGGTTGATCCAAAAGTTTGTGAAATTTAATTATCTCTAAAATTTTATTGTGATTTGATGAAAGCAAACAATAGGCATATTTATAATATGGAGTCTTTATGCAACAATACTGGATATTTTCACCATGTTCCAATTACCAATAAGGTCACACGAGCTTTCTGAACATTGATAGTTGTAAAATCAGGGGGAGACTTCTACGTAACGTCAAGTTAAGTATGTCATGTCACATTATAGGAGCGTTATAGGAGCATCTCACCCTCATGTTCAATTCGACTAAGTAATTCTACAGAATATTCTGCCTTTTTCTCCTTTTCTCTCTCAAGAAAAGCCTTGGTATCCTCTCACACGGATCAACTTATCTTAATATTACACTCATATTTTAAAAATACTCCCCATCTTTGCATATGGTGTTCCAATTTCAGAAGCAAAGTCAAGCACAGTACGTCAGCGGTCAACGTCCATCAACGCTTAATAGCGATTCTCTGTAACCACTTGAACTTCTTTGCCACGCATGGTCACCGATTTTGATAAAACTTTGCCTATTATTACAACTTGACACCAGAAACATATATCAAATAAAATTCCGTTGCTATGGGTCTTGGTTGCCATGGTAACAGCCAGAAAAGTTGAAAAAATTGAGATTTTCAGCTACTTTGAATCTTTATTAAGCCTTAATAAAGACTAAGAAAAACAAACAAACCATTCTCCTAAAAACATGACACCTTGTTTCCACTTATGCTATAAAGAAACTATTTAGAATTTATCTCTAAGTAATGGTAACCATGGGTACATTTGAAATACGTTTTAGATGCTGAAAAATGCTGAAAAACACTCAATATTCACAAATGAAATATGTTACATGATCAAACTCAATCAACAACGTAAGAAAAACAATAAAAAATATTTGACCTCATGTAATTAGGTATTGGCAATATTATTCTAAAAATAATTTTCATGGTTGCCATGGTAACACAGTGTCACCATGCAAAATCTGTTGCTATGATTGGGTTAATGCTACTATCGTGAGGAAAAACAATAAAATTCATGACTGGCACATATGCATCCTTAGGACCTTGCAACACCGACAACATAAGAAAAATTGAGATTAATTGTTGCTTTGCAGTGTAACCATGGAAACAACGTACTAGTTGTTTAATGTGATATTTTTTTGCTGCTTTAGGAATTTACTAACCTTTTAATCAAGAAAAATATTATTTGAATCACCCTGAATAGTATTTATCTCGTAGAACTAAAGTTGAATATCATATATTGATAAAGGTTGTTGAAAAATACAACACTGTTGCTATGGTTACCAAGAAGAGAAAATGTTCGATTTTGTTAATTTTTTGTCAATATTAGACCCTATGTGCCAGCTTTTTGCATCCAGTTAGAGATTGGGTGATAGTCAAAATGTAAAGTCAGGTTAGTTGTTCACATATATCAATCATTAAAGTTTCGGGAATCTACATACAACGGTACGTATCCAAGGAAACAGAGTATTTTTCAGATTTTTATGCATATTTTTTTGCT